TGGATGACGATGGACGAGGCGACATCAGGCAGGCTGTGCAGGAAGGCATGTCTCTTCAGGTGCTGCAGCTCCATCTGCAAAGTTTGCCGCGGGAGGGGAAAATCGTAGCGGTTGGGTTCCCAGCTGAACACGACAAAAACCTGTGGGTGGCCCACTCCTTCCACTCCCAGGCTTCTCCTGCAGTCCTCCCTGATCTGCTGCAGGATCCTCTCCTCGTTGTAGCTGGAGGGACGCTGCCTCCTGGAAGCGTCCAGGCCCATGTCGGCTTTGGAGCGCACAAAGTAGAACCTCTTGCCCATTCTCTGGATCTCACGGACCAGCCTGGCGTGGTTGGAGCTGAAGCGCTGGGCGCCGACGATGATGAAGAACTCAAATCGGCTCAATTAGGTGTTTAGAGGGAAATAGGACGTGCTCACCCCTGGCAGGTCCCAGAGAGTGACGTCTGGAAGGACAGGATCTGGATAAGGCATTGGCTCCCTCATGGTACCTAACATCCCAGTTTCAGCAGCACCTTCATCACCAGCACGTAGCGCCCGCATGGCGTTGATGAGGGAGGACTTCCCACAGCCCAGGGGCGATGTTGAGGGTGTGGCTGCAAAACTACTGCACATTAGAAATCACTTCTGTCAGGCTCCCTTGATAGTGGCTTTGAACCCATCGAGCGCCATGGCGCTCAATCTGCAGCAGAGAAGAAACATTTCAGTTGCAAGTTAATGCTGCCTCTGGAAAATCCTACGCCGACAGGCTACAGCGCATTACTTATGGTGGCAACACCAAGCCCTTGAAAGTTAGGGAAAGGTACATTTACGATGGCCCATGCAAACTTAACTCTGCCCCTTGTGTATCCGGCCCAGGCACTGAATGAGGCAGGGTCAATGTGGAAAAACCAGGAGTTGTTTGATTTTTAAACGTTATTTATTATTTGTAGTATAATAGTGCAGATGAATCCTGACTGAGATCAGGGCCCCTCATTGTGCTGGGTGCTGCGAAGACCCCCCCCACCAAGCTCAGAGCCCCTGTTGTATCAGACACTGCACAGACCCCCCCACCCCCAAACGAGATCAGGGCCCTGTCGTGCCAGGCGCTACACAAACCCCGACTGAGATCAGGGACCCCATTATGCCAGGCACTGCGCAGACCCCCCTGGCTGAGATTAGGGGCCCCATTATTCGGTGTGCTGCATGAACCCACAGGTGAGAATTTTCACAAGATCTCAGCTTCCATGAAGACACGTGTGGGGAAACAGACCAGGGGGGGTCTCCTTTCTAGTAGCCCAAGCTCTGAGTCACCAGGCTCTAGGATGAGCCCTCCAACAGAAATCTGTTCTACTGATAGCCTCTGCACAGAATAGAACAGGCCTAAAAGCCTGAACCAAACTGCACAGCATAATTCTCTTCCAAATACAGTCAGAAGTAGTAACAGAGGAGGGAATCATAAAGTCTGTTGGGAAACTAACTGTTTTAGAAATATGATAACCGCAAAATTGCTAGCTATTGAGACATTGTTTTACGGAAAGATAATCATTTTTGCTGCTACTATTGTTTGCAATATTCTCTAATTCCAGCTATCTGCAAACCAGCCAATGATAGCTCTCTTTTAAGCGTCCCCCGAAAAGCCCCCCCCCTTAGCTCTTACCGAAATCCCCCGGAAAATGACATGTACCAAGTCTTAAGAAATGTACCCAAGCCAAAGTTGAGCACCACCCTCGCGGAAACCACCAAATGTCCCCATGCCCAATTACACCCATTTCTTGGAACATTAAGAAAGAGGGCGAGGGGAGGAGGGAAGAGTGACCCCAACTCAACACCCCAGCTCGTGACCAACGCGTGTTCACCCAAAGCTCGGCTTGTGATTTGTCCCCGAGCTCGTGTCCACTATATGCCCAGCTTATGATTGGTTCTTAATTTCTTAACTAATGACGTATTAATTGTATCATGCTTGTGGTTTTAGTGAATAAAAGCAGCCTGCGTGCTGCTGTTCGGGGTGTCAGCTTCCGAGCTGCACCCCAGCGCGCACTGGTTTGTATTGCAATAAAGGCCTCAGGCTCTGAGTCTGTGAACTAAAATCACTGCGTGGGTGATTCTTGCCACGACACACGGAAATACACGGGGAGATTTTTGAGCCAGCCCAGCACCCTGCTCCCTGGCGGGGACAATATCTCAGCTGTGAATGGGCAGAGCAGTGCTCAGACCAGCCCTCTCCCTCGGCATGCCCTCTAGGCCGGGGGAGCTACGGGGAGCCCTGCAGCTGCTCTGGCTCACCCCAAAGGCCTGGCAGGAAGATGGGGAGCTCACCACTTTCTCGAACCCCATCCCGGCTCTGCGCACAGGAACCGAGGACACCAGAATCAGGGCCCGGCTCTTTCACACAGATGCCAGGGGAGAGGCTGAGGAACCAGAGCTGGGCGCAGGTTTCTCAGCCGCAACTTTTGTAGGTGAAAAATGCAGATTTGTCGATGGCAAGGGACTGCGCGGGGTCCATCGATCTGACCATCCGCCTGCGGGCCACAGGCCAGCTTGAATTCCTCTGCAGGCCTGTTTGGCAGCCACCCCAAACTGCAGCAGCAGAGGAAACACCGGGGGACCAGCGCAGGAGGCCCAGGGGCGTGTTTCCCCCAGGGACTGAAAGGAGAGGGGGTGTTCGAATGTACAGGGAGGTTGGAAAATAAGTAAACTGGCAACACTGTAGCTGATCACTAAGGGGGGTGCAGGGAAATCCCCGCCAGGGGAATCGTTGACCTTCCCCCAGGGTGTGTTGCGCTCAGGGGGCTGGGTCTGCGGGAAGGGGCAGCAAGCCGTGGGCACACGCAGCTCACCCGTGTCTCACCCTCAGTGTCTCACGGACTCTCTCGCCGTCTGTGGGCTCCTGGCTCGCTCTCCTTCCCTGCCAGCCCCGTCTCGTCGCGGGAGCCTCTTTCTTTCCTGGCTCTGTCCCTCTGCCCTGGGGCTGGCTCTGTCCCTCTGCCCCCTCTCCTGGCCCTGGAGCAGCCGCAGGGAAAGGGAAAGCAGCTGGCTGACACAGCAGGGCAGGGCGGGACTCTCCACCTCCCTGGCCGGCTGCGGTGGGTAAGAGGGGAGGGACAGAGCGGGGCCTAGATACGCTCCCCGACACCCTGGGCATTTCCAGGTGGACACACAGCCCTAAATGTCTCCATGCAGTCGGGCGGGGGCAGGGGGGCACAGTGTGTCGTTACTACACACACACAGAGCAGGGCTAAACATACCCAGCACTGGGAAGCAGGGACACACACACCATACCCATTTATACTATATATATGCATGCGGCAGCAGGGTTCAAACACACACACACACACAGATCAGGGTTCATCCCACGCAGCAGGGACACACACACCATACCCATTTATACTATATATATGCATGCGGCAGCAGGGTTCAAACACACACACACACACACAGATCAGGGTTCATCCCATGCAGCAGGGACACACACACTTTCGAGCTCTGTCTGCACTAGAAGGAAAGGTGTGGTGTTAATGTGTGTGAGCTCACTGGTGTTAACATCCTAATGCAGGCCAGGCCAGTTGTAGCTCTGACACGGCTCAGCGGGCTGAGATCCCCCATGAGATCCCCCGTTTTAAAGCAAGGCACCCCTTTTCCCCTAGTCCAGACAAAGCTTTGGCTTCTTTGGAAGTCACGAGGCTGCTCTCGCCTTCCATTTCCTCTCTGATCTAAAAGCTCCTCACAGGACGCACGCCCTGGAGGACTGTCTGCCCCCTTCTTTGGAGCCCTGCTTCAGCAAAGCATTTAAAGGCCTGCAGAACTTTAAACCCCTGAGCAGCAATGTCACTGAAGTCTTGTGTTTAAAGTGATGCCTAAACGTTTTGTTACGATACTGGGGAGTAGCAGTGTTAACCCACGGGACTCCCAGCCACTGGGCATTAATGGTGTTAGCCAGCGGGACTCCCTGCCACTGAGAATTAGCAGAGTTAACCCATGGAACTCCCTGCCACTGGGAGTTAGCAGTTTTAATCAGTGGGACTCCCTGGCACTGGGAATTAGGGGGGTGAACCCACAGGACTCCCTGCCACTGGATTTCTCTCTCTGACCATTGTTATCATGATTTACATAGAGACTTAATTCAGGTTGTAGGTGAATTTATTACATGATATGACTATACATGATAGGACTATACAGCAAGAGCAGTAATGATAAAGCAACGAGCACACTAATTATTGATATAGTATAAATGAAATTGCACGGGCTATAGATTATATAGAAGTTAGCTTCAATATCCAACTTGTAGCAATATGCTGGATTCTCCAAGTGCTCACACAGGCTGTTGGGATCATGATATGATTAAATTGCTCCTCCGATCACCTGATGCACAACACAGCATTGTTACAGTCGATATATGAGTGTGGCCAACTCTTGTGATTCTAAGCTTCCTGGAGTCGTGTGATCATGGGAGAATCTCAGCTTTCATTAAAAAGAAGTAGTTTCTAGCCGTGGAGAACAGCAGGAAAAGGTGACCAACAAACCCTCAAAACAGGAGGCAACTAAAAAAACAACATTTTTTAAAATCTCATGATTTTTAGGGGCCTGAATGGTGATTTTTGAATGCTCACGGTCGACATTACTGGGAAATGCTTGTTCCAGCGCCCTCATTCATTTGTAACCCGACTGATAGCGCACAAACTAGCCATGGTCTTCAGTTCTTCAAATCAAAGGCATTGTTTAAAAGGTACACAAAGTCTGCTGTAGGCCCTGGCTGGACGGTTCTGCAGGTCAGGTACTAAAGAGACAGCGGCTGGTGGCAAGGTTGGTTGCCATGTTGAGTTACATCAGTTGAGGATCTTGGTGCATTTTGTTGGTTTTCCTGTATTAGACAAAACGTTTAAAAAACCTAGAAACTTGACACGCTGCAGGAAATTAAAGAATGAAAATGCCACTACTTTCTTGGCTTGATTTTTAAAATTTGGGAGGGTCATGCCTTGATCTCCAGCTGGGATTGGGTCTCTGATTTATGAACACATCTGCTGATCATTTATGCTTTTTCCCGTCTTCCTTCAAAGCGGTCTTCCGAACCCTTTCGGCATCTTCAGCCACTTCATTGAGAAATCTCAACAGCATGAAGTAGGTGGTTAAAAAAGAGATTCCCGCAGTTAACATGGGACCAAGCACTGGTACATATGCAGTTAATTTAGGCAAACTCGTCTTTAGCAGCAGTTTGATTACAACATCTCTGTTTATTTCTTTTGCCTCAGGAGATATGATAACAGCCTTCAGCTCCGCTATCGGTTTCCCAGTCTGCCTGGCCAGATTAGCCAAGGAGCCGTCATCTAGGCCGAAGTACTTGTAGAAGGCAATCATGGATCCTAGCAGGATGCTAATATCACAAGCAACAGAGATCCCTGGAATAGGAATGACATTGACAAAAGCCGACGTGAGAGATATTCGCCATATCCACTTCTTCAGGGCAGCTTTCTTCTCCTCTATGATTTCGGCAGACAGGTTTGGCAGACTGAGCAGAAAGGCAAGTCTCTGCAGACCTTGGAGATCATCCTGCAAAGTCTTGACCAGGACAGGAGCATCATACTTGGTGAATTCACAGCTGGAGAGAAGGAAAATCTTTGGGTTGCTGATCCCTGCCTTTTGCAGGTGTTTCCTGCAGTCCATCTTGAGTCGCTGCAGGACACTCTCCTCCCTGAATGTTCTAGGGTGATCCCTTTCTTCATTGCGCAAGTCTTCATCCACCTTGGAGCGCACAAAGTAGAACCTCTTCCCCATCCTCTCGATCTCCCGGGCCAGGGCCATGTGGATGCCTTTGAAGCGCTCCGAAGCAATGATCACGAAGAAGTCATAGCATTTGAAGTTCACCTGCTTCAGGTACGTGTTTGGCTGAAAATCTGGGGCGCCAATACCGGGCAGGTCCCACAGCCTCACGTTGGGGTGGTTTGGATAGGGATAAACAGTGGGCTTCGTCGTCGTTTCTGTCACCCCAGTTGGGGCAGCCCCGTCATCCTCAGCAGTCAGTCCCCGGAGGGCGTTGATGAAGGACGATTTCCCTGCGCCCGTCTCCCCCGTGACTGCGATGTTGAGGATGGTGGATTTGAACGATTCCAGCTCTGCCTGTGCTATAGAAGCCACTTCAGCCTGTTCTTTGTCTTTGAAAAGATCCAGGAACTCCTCAAACACCTTTATGGAGACATTGAAGAGTTCCTTTGGGTCCAACCCTAGATCCAGAGCTTCCATGGGAGCTGAGATTAACTCCATATTCTTCCTGAGCACTGAGGCGGACTCCATATCCATGGCACCTACAAGAGATTCCCTCTTCCCAAGACAAGAAAAGGAAAAGGCATGTTTTGGTTAGTGTAAATGCAGCCTTAAAAGAATAAAACTGTTCACGTAGCAACTTATACACTTGCAGCCGTGGGGCTGGTTTCACCCTCACCAGTACGTGTGCTGAAACTTCCATCCCCATCCCCACTCTGAACAAACCGTAAGCACTGTTAATACAGGTTAACCTCCCCGGTGCACGGACTATTACTCCTGGGGGAATTCTGTGCTACGGCACACATGTATAATTAACTAGCTGTGCATATTTTTAATATTTTGGCACAGAATTCTCCCAGGAGTAGACTATGGGGCTGTCAGATGTGCTGCTGGAGGTCACCATGAGGGGAGTCTGATGATGTCTGGAATATGTGTTGCTTTTCGGGATGTGTTGGAGATGGGAGTGAAAGCCAAGGCCCACCCAGCACAGGCACGGGGGACAGGGAGAGGGGCTCAGACAGCCCCCCC